TGTTGTTGTTGTTATGTGCTGTCGAGTCGGCCCCGACTCATAGCGACCCCTCCTTGGGTTTCCGAGGCAGTATCACTACGGAAGTAGGATTGCCCAACCTTCCTTCCGAGGAGTGGCTGGTGGGTTTGAACCGCCAGCCGTCTGGTTAGCAGGCAAGTGTCTTACCACTATGCTACCAGAGCCCCTTAGAGCGCTCATATTCCCCATGAGCACTGATATTCCCCACGATTACCTGATCCATATCTAAATTGCACCAAATACATATATATATATATGACTGATTTTTTTCATATTAATCTGAACACATGGCAATATTTCATCGCAGCCATAGTGTGGGTAGACAGACTAACGTTATAGGACAGGAACTTTTAAAGAAAGAAACAAATGATGTATGCAAACTAAAACCTGAAGAATAATCATTACCCTTCCCTCAAGTTTTTTGGCTGTAGTAACACAGATAATTCTACCTAGGAAATGCCACTGGGGATGAAGGCACAAAGATCTGGGGAGAGAGCATTTTTCTGGGAATGAGGCAGATGTTGGTGCTTCCTATTACTCTATCAGTGTAAGAAGAGAATGAAGTGATTTATACTCAATCTGTGTATCATAGAGTGAATCATGTCCCCCCAAAATGTGTGTCAATTTGGCTGGGACATGATTCTCATTAGCAGTTATGTAATGATATAATCATCTTCCATTAATGTGATCTGATGTGATCAGTCAGTCAGTTGTAAGGGAATTAGGGTGGGATGTTGTTGTTGTTATTTACCATCGAGTCTGACCCGACTCATAGTGACCCCTCCTTGGGTTTCCGAGGCAATATCACTACAGAAGTAGATTGCCCAATCTTCCTTTCAAGGAGTGGCTGGTGGGTTTGAACCGCTAGCCTTCTGGTTAGCAGTCAAGTGCATCAGGTCACATCACTGATCTGATATAAGGGGAGTTTCCTTAGGGTGTGGCCTGTATCACCTTTTATCTTGCAAGAGATAAAAGGAGAGAGAAGTGAAAAAAGAGGGACCGGATCTACTACCACTAAGAAAGAAAAACCTGGGACAGAGTGCATCCTTTGGACCCTGCATTGGGAACCTTCTAGATCATGGGGAAGGTTGATGCCAAGACACATGGAGATCTCCAACGAATGCCAGACTCACCGTTGCTGAAAGGAGGCAAGGACCTTCCTCCTAAACTGTGAGCCAACAGAGAAAGAAAGCCTTCCCTTAGAGCTGGCACCCTGAATTTGGACTTCTAGTTTCCTAAGCTGTGAGAGAATAAATTTCTGTTTGTTAAAGCCATCCACTTGTGGCATATCTGTTATAGAAGCATTTGGTAAGTAAAACACTGTGTTGGGTATTTTTCCTAAGGGCAATAAGCTTAGGTCTAGAAATTCAGATTGACAGAAAAATCGTACGTATGGAACGAATCCAGTATTTCTTCCATAGTAAATAATCAAGTCCTTTATAAGTCACAAAGAAATGCTCTTGGTTCTTGGGTATTATTTTCTGTGAATTGTACATGTTCATCTTTTTTTAAACCTACTTGATACTCAACTAAGGCTTCAGCTGTGCCATATGGTAACTTTAGTTTGATTTCTTGAGTCAGTAAAGACCAGTCAACACAGGCAAGATGAGTGAATAGAGCTCATTGTCTCAGATTTCAAGTCACATTCTCTGGGAAAGTGAATAGCTTTAATTTTCAGAAAGTGGAATAGTGCGTCAATGTAATTATAGTTTATTAAGTAAATTTTGAAAACTTGAAACATTTTATGCTAAAGGTATCTAGGAAAAATAGTTTTCCCTGGTGAAATTTCTGAATTTTTTAAACCAGTCTTAAATTGAAAATGACTAAATAGTTCATATTTTATGAGATTGAACATTTTTATAATTGGTGTTTAAAACTCTTTCTACATAGAAGCTATTTATTTCAAGCAGTTGATAGGATTTCAGAGGAAATATACTGATGCCTAAGTTTGTCTGTATTCCCCCATAATCCTTTTTAAGATCCAGATCCCCAAAGTGATTGTTTACTTCTCAAGACAACAAACACTGACAACTCTCTCCTCACTTACTCCTGCCCCTTTCAGTCTATATACTTTGCTTTGTCTTTATTTTTCCATTTTTGTCTTTTTCTCTATCCACATCTACTTGCACTTTGTCTTGTTCTACTTGTTTCATGTTAAAGGATTTAAAATGGTTTATAAAACTAACTGAAATATGAAAGGAGAAAATAAATAGTTGAAGAAAGCATAGAAAAAATAAGGGCAGCAAATTAATAAAGGTAAGAATAACATTAGCACAGAAATGGAGACTATACAATTGGTAAGGGGCTAATGGTCTAAAACCAAAAAACACAACAAAACAAAAAAATAGGAAAATATTTTAGTTCCATTTCTCAGAATATTCAAAAATATAAAATCAAATAATTTGTTAAAGAGTTGTGTAGCTTTTCCTGATGCTGAGTCCAGGATGAAATTTCTCTTACGAATATTCACAAAGACAACTCCTTCAACACTGTGTCTACATTATATAATTATCATTTATTGTAAAAAAAACCTCACAGACCTTTTTTATAAAAACAATGACACACTCAATTTAGTAAATATAATTCTACCAGAGCCCAGTCTATTGCAGTCTACTCTGTAATTGATCCAAGAATAAATTTAGAGGACCTACTCTTTCAGATTCTCTATATCTAGTGTATTCATTGAGGTTGGACAACAAAATTCAATAATTCAGAAGTGAGAGGTAACTGGAAGGGTTATGGTTTTTTTGGTTTTTACTTTATTTCTCTATTGTTAAGTATCTGTATATAATAAAACATATACCGGTGCAACAGTGTTTACATGTACAATTCAGTGACATTGATTACGTTCATCATGCTGTTCAACCATGACTACCACCCTTTTCCAGATTATTTCACCATCATAAGTGGGCTGTGTTTTATTGACTATGCAAAGGCATTTGATGGTGTGGATCATGACAAATTATGGATAACACTGTGAATAATGGGAATTCCAAAACACTTGATT